AAAGAGATGGGTTTGTCTTGTGTATATGCAAGGTGAGATGCAGCATTAGTTACAAGCAGTTGGCTTATGATAGGAAATTACTGCCGAAAATCCTGTCGAGGCTTCGGTCTTCTGGAAGGTGCCAGTCAAGAGATTCCTCATCTGTGACAAGGGCGGAGAAATAAGTGGCTTGTTTACTAAGGCCAGAATTTATCAGGCTTCAGATGTTTCCCTTCATGTCTTAATGGTCTGTGGTCAGAGCTGACAGACCCTCTGGTGTCCGCGGCGGCTCAGCAAGCCCTGCTGCGCGAGAGCTCTGCGGACACGGCCCGTGCCCCCCGGTGTCACACAGCTGCCTTCGCTGTCCCCGCCGTGCCTCCCCCCCGGCCCCGCTGCAGGGCGCCCCAGGGTGCCCCTGCACGCCGACCCTGGCTGCAGCGATGCCCCGGGGGGCTGCTTTCCTTGGGTGTAGCTCAAAAGCGGCTGGGAGACTGCTGCGAGTTACCTGCTGGGCGAACAAATTCCTCCTGTCTTGAGCGTCCTGGCGTATCTGGGGGGACACAAAAGTACATTTGCCCCACCGGCAGCTCCCAAGCACAGCTCTGGCGCGGTCCAACATAGGTGGCTAGAGCCGCACGCGGCCGTTGACACATTAAAAAGTGACTTTGTAAACGCAGCCCCTTCTTAAAATGGAGAGCAATAACCCGCCTCTTGTGAGGGACTCGGGCTGCCTGAAAGCCCCTGGGCGAGCAGCTGGGGGAGGACAAAGAGGCAGTGTGCTGCGAGCAAACATGGCCGCTTCCTGAACTCTTCAACTTCCCCTCGGCACCTCTGAAGCTTGGGGTCCGGCGTATCGGGTCTCTGCACGCTTGCCGAGGGGAAAACACTTAAGCTGCGTGCGCCTCGCAGTGCTCGCAAGTGTCTTCCAGTGTAAATAATACCTTGGCCATTTGGCCCAAAACTTTAAATGGGGGCAGAGCAGGTGCATCTGCAGACATGTGTTTGCACATGCACGCCTGCTACGACCGCAGGAGCGCAGGCGTGCGTGCACGAGTAGGCGCGTGTGCACCAGAAAGAGCCTGATGCAGAAGCATCCATTTTGTTGATTAGTCTTTTTTTTTTTTTTCAGTCATGCATATATTTCCTTTTGTGTGGGTATCCTCCCTATGTTTACACTTAAAATACTTGCATCTCGCATTAGATGGGTGTGATTTGTGCAATACTTAGCTGCTGAAGTTCCTTGAATGGGAAAGGTTTGTGCCAGTCTCACCTTGTCAGCCTGAACGGATCCTCTCCTTTCCTGAGTTTGTCCCCTTTATCCAGCAACTTTTTATACTGTGTCTGCCAACTTCCAGGGGAGGTGGGATTAGCCTTGCGCAGTTACTCTCGCATAAGCACAGAACTTGGCAGCCGGCAACCCCAGCAGCGGGCACATGCCGCTCTGCCTGAGAAATCCTGTTTGTTGCTCTCTTTGCCAGAGGTCACTCCTCCCGCACCTCTCTGTGTAGGAGGGATCCTCAAAACCATTGCCAGTCGATTTCCAGTGGGATCAGTCAGATTAACTCACCGGTAAAGATTATTGGGGGCTAATTTCACTTGTTTGATAGTAGCAAAGTAGTGAGCGTGGTAGGAAGGCCCGAGGCAGCAGACAGAGAGGTAGTCCCTGGCTGGTGGTCACCGGGAGGCTGCTCACAACACTGACGTCTTCATCTGGCACAGTTTAATTTAAAAGGTGACATTTTTAGTGGAAACCTCTTAATTTACATAGAAGTTACATAGGATGCATCGACCAATGGGCAAAGCAGCGGCTCCCATTGGTTTGCTCTGGGCCTCTCGCTGTAAGCTGTGGTTTTGTGTTACAGCCTGGGTAGAAGCAGAGCCAGCTTCGTGTGAGCAGTTGTCCCCTGCTGCCTGAGAGTGAGAACAAGAAAAAAAAAAAAACTAATCAACTTTTGAACACTAGATCAGTTCCTCAATACGGTCCACGGCACAGGCTGTGGAACCACTGTGCCCACACACCTGAGAGTGCCATGGGGCATGGTGGGAACAATGAACGGCGGTGGGATGACAGCCATAAACGAGCATCGCTGCTGAAAGCTTTGCATCTCAAATGTGCAGCATCCCTGTCTGTCTGTTGGCTCTCTTCCTGCCTCCAGGTTCTTCATGCCTGTGCTTAGGTGCAGCTAAGTTCAACCAGTGCCCCAGCACAGCTATTTGCAATCAGTGTCACGGGGAACCCCTCTGGCTGTGTAACCCATCCGCCTTCACTCAGTCCTTGCCAGGCATTGGCTTGTTGTTATTTCAGCTCTCACTAAATAAAGGGACATTTAATTGATCTCTGCCCCCCACACCTTTAGCCTAATTGAATAATTGAAGGGTGTTTAACATGCTCCACAAGGAGCATCTTCCAGTAGAGCAGTATCTCCTTGCTGACCCTGGTGAGACCATTCTGCCTCTCTTCTGACATGGTAGTCTTCAAATTTTATCTCTAGGCTGTGTCAGTGTTTCTGGTGTTGGTACCACTTAGAATTAGATTGCCTTTCTAAAATTCACGTTTTTTTTTAAAAAAAAAAAAAAAAAAGAAATTCTGCTAAAGCACCACCTATTGACTAATCATGTAAGCATACCCTTCTAATCCAGGAGTTGGCTGTCCTTCCTTCTGTGGTGTATGTTCAGGCCTGTTTGTCCCATCACTAAATGACAATATCTGGATGCACGCTGCTACAACTGAGAAGAGAACCGCTACTCTTCTGAAGTCATAAACTATTTTTCGTAGGACTACAACTCCTGTGAAAGCTGTTTGCTGTGTTCAGATGAAAAATATTTCTGAAAATTGCAGATAACTGCATCTATTCGAATAGGTTAATTCATTACTGCTCTGAAAATTTGATAAACAAATATCCTTGAACTGAAATTTCCCACGCCTGCAGCGTAATTGCGTTCTCCACTGCTGTGTTTGTTTCCTCTTTAAAAGAAGGGAGGGGACACACACTGACATACTGCAACAGAATCACATTCAGCGTTTGGTGTTAATGCAAATAAATTGTACAAAAAGATCCATTGAATCATGGAGTGACTCAGAAGGCCCTAGATGAGGGCTCTTTGGCTGTGCAGAAATGTCAGTAGTTCAGCATGGGAGCAGAAAGCTCTTAAACACACTGCGAGGGACAGCTAGTTTCTTCATCTGGTTTTAAGAAGTAAGGCAGAGCGAGCCTAGCAAGGTGCGGTGAGGAAGTGTGGTGTCACATGCCGCTCCACAGGAAACGAGATTGAAGCTGCTGGGGAAGTTCAGAACCGGGTGACCTCCAACGGACTCAAATGGCACAGGTTGGTCCTCTTAAAATGTCTCTTTAAACCATCCTACAGCGGTTCTGCATGCATATTTCCATATGCTTCTGATGGAGGTGGATAAGAAGTGGTCTGTGTAACCGCCTGGGTTAGCAGGTAGCGAGCAGCTTGGGCTTTTGGAGCAGGACCTTACGGGGCAAAAATAGGAAGCTCCTCCATGAGTTAGCCCGGGTTTGTGAGAAGCTTGGAGCCCGCCTTGCTGCACAGCAGCAGCGTGGACCTGAGTCGCGTTGGAAGCGTGAATGACATTTCCGTCATGTTAAGACTTTCTTGTAATGGGCAAAAGGTCTGGATTTTTAACAGAAGTGTTCAGTGTTAATAAATAGCAGAAAGTGCTTTTCCAAGCACAGGTTAAAACTATTGACCGTAGTGAGAACTTCACTTTGTTTGCTTTGGCTGAACTGAGTATTTAGCTGTTCTGTTTGATTTTATTGGTATAGGCTCTTGTTAAGGTTTTCTCATGTTCCTGGTGATTTCTATTGAGAAATTCCAGCCCAGCTTTTCTGTGCAGGAGGCCTTTGGCTTGGGAATGCGCTGTTATCATCAATGAAAGGGCACCAGTTTGGTGCTGGAGAACTTGGAGCTCTCAGAGGGAGGCCATTTGATGGGATGTATGTTTTGTAGTCCTACATAATTTTTAAATATTACCAGATAATTGTGATTAATTAAGAATTTCGAATGCAAAGTCAGAGTGAAAGTTCAAAAGAAAAATAAACTTCAGGATGATCAAATGTAGAATATAATAGGAGTGCTTCATGGAATCAGAACTAAAATTAAATCCCAGTGCACATGGTGCCAGGAGAGCACGGGGGGGAGAGGAGGTGGCGGCTGCGCAGCCTGTGCTGGTCGGTCGAAGGCAAAGGCGCCCGCTCCGTGCGGAGGCTCCCTGGCTCGCTAGGCAAGGTCACAGCTTGCCAGGCGGAGGGGCTTGGGCATTGGAAGCGGTCGTGATCGAGCACGAAATGCAGTGGTTGGGGATGGCGATTGCTGTACCAAGGGCACGCCAAAGATTAAAATCAGAGATTTGAGTGTCAGGCAAATATTCCTGAAACTGTCTATACTTCTCAAATCTTTAAAAGAAAAAATATTTTCCCTGAATCTGTAGAAAAACAGACTTGAGTTGCACCGCTGTTTCAGCATCACCTAGCGCATTCATCCTGATCTCAGCATAAAAACACCTACGTAAAATGAACACAGCAGCTCAGGAAGGACCCGGCTGTGCGAGCGGGGAAGTCCTGGCCACCTCCTTCCTGGAGAGGGGGATGCTGGGTCTGGCTCTGCCACGGGGCGCTGAGGGTCTCAGCAATTTGGGAATAACGGGGCCCTCGTTTTGGCAGTTTACAGCTCTGCAGCTCTCGCTGTCTGCAGCCTTGCAAAGCTTGCTCTTTGGTTTTGAGCTTTGGAGTTTCACACACGGAAAGCTCTGGCCTTAGCTGGGCTTCTCTGCTGCTGTAAAACTGGCAAGTTTTGCAAAGAGTGCCAGAGTTCTGCCCAAAATCAGCCTTTCTGCTTTGTTAGGGTTTATAGCCTTCACCAGAACACTGTGAAACTCAACTCTGTTTAACTAAGAACGTGATTTAAAAGCAATTTACTAAAATCCCACTGCAGACATTTTCATTTCAGCCTAATCCTGCCTTATAGCAGCTCATCTCAAATAGATTAGGAGTTGTTTTAAGATAAATATAATGGCTTGTAAATAATGTATTTGAGCCTCCATGCAGTGGTTTGTGCCAGGCATTTGAAATTGAATTAATAAATCGATACACTTTCCTAAATAAATAAAGCCTAACACTTTTACTCTGCTACCAGGAGTGAGCACAGACAACCAGGACTGAAAGAGCA